GATGGCCCCCCCTCGAAAGCCATTTTTTTTCGCATGGCCCCCCCCCAAATCCCACCAGCCCCCCCTACCTGATAAAAAATGAACGGTCCCTAAACTCAGTAGAACCAAAAGTAACCGGAGATCAAGTGTTCTTTCTTTTCAACGGCAGCGAAAAAACAAAAAACAAAAAAAACAACAAAAAAAAGCCTAATCCCAAATTAAACAAAAAGTTCCCTACCCAGAAAGCGACAAGAGGCGATTTGAAGTTCTTCGTCAAGTCGCGTTAGTTTGTTCGATACAACGAACTCTAAACAACTCTAACTTAAGATCTAATAACTTTATTGCCTTTCAACATAACCAAACAACGATCCCCAAGTTTTGGAAGGGACTACACTACACAATATGATCGCTTTCTCATTAAATCGCTTATTTCATCGCTTTTTCTATTAAGATACGCTTTGCAGGTCTGAGAGACGTGAATGTCGGAAAATTAAGATAAAATTGAAAACACTATTTTGATTAAAACCCAACGTATATGTTGGCAAACTAAAACCAGTTGGGCTTAGCAAAAACTTCGTCTCCTTAGCAACAAGGTGACAATTCAAAAACTAGGATGTTCCACAAAAAGACGTGATTCGACCCAATACATCAAATGACTTCTTCGTTCAAGAAAATTACTTACCAATAGGCCATATCCGAGTTACCTTGTGCCTCTGTTTTAAAACGAGTACTCGTACAAAACCTTTCATACGAAGATGAGTTTACATGTAAATGAACCTGTAGGCGGAACTCATTTTCACACGAATGGTTTCGCGCGAAGACTCGTTTCAACACTGAAGCAAAAGACAACTCCGAAAAGGCCTATTAGGTTACTTTACTGAAATTATCACAGAAACTAGCAGAAACACGCTTAAAGTAAGTTGAGGATATTCTCTGAGCCCTGATGCTCAAACGTTGTTTAAGCTGATAGGGACCGCTGGTCAGGAGGAACGCAAGTACCGGGCGTGACAATGGATTGGGGTTAAATCTGAAAATAGTCTGAAGTTTCCAAGACATCGACTAAATGTGATTTATGCTTCATTTTGAACTGCAGATAGTCAAAAACTGTCACTTAAAAGCAGGGAAAACGCATACGAAAAAAAGTAGGTCTTTGACCCTAGTTAGATACTGGTAAAAAGATGAAGAGATCCAAGCGAACAACAATTCAGAGATCCTGTCCTCTCATAGGTCGATAACAATTTTACATAGCGTTTGGCCACAAGAGAGACTTGTTTCAAGTGGTTAAGCAGTTGCTTTGCAAGCAAAATTCCCAAGGGGAGCCCCTAATAAAGTGAAGTTTGCCAGCCAGAGGTTTATTCACGTGAACGAGGTTAGATCTTCAAAGAGAACCCTCCTTGCCTTCCATTTCATTAGGTCTGTTTAGTTTTAAGATCTAGTAGAGAACTTTAGATACTGTAGTACTTTGATGTCCAACTACCAAAGACAGTCCACGTCCTCATTTCAAACTGCTGACTTACAATTTTCGATACCCTCACAAGTTCGTCGACTTGTTTTCTTTTAATTTAAAAACTAAGTTGCAACGTACGTTCGTTAAATGGCATATGTCTAGTATTCATCGACTTCAAACTATTCTAAATTATACATTTACAATATTATAATTCACTAAGCGTGCTAAGCTATTCTTTCCCATGAAGTTTGTTCGCTCCGAAAAAGGAAGCATCTTAACGATTTAACATTTAAACTTACTTTGAATGTGATGATTAAAATAAACATTTCTAACTAGTTACTTGCTTAAACAATATTTGCTTGTCTGCATCTCCAACAACTCCAACACCACATTTTCTAAACCCGCAACCTTTACAATGTTTCCTTTGCATAGTGCTTTATCTAGCTAGTGAATCTTTAGGGACGCCACTTTTTCGGTTTGGCCAGCTGCATTGAAGAAGGGTCCGTCCGTCTTAACTACTGCCGAGAGAGAAGTAAAGTTTCAGTGTGGTAAAAACTATGATCAAAAGGAAATTTCTCCCAAGAATATCGATATAGTTTCAAGCATGCACGTTATGAGACTTATGAGAGTACAGAGACTGATCACCGAGGAGAGAACCAATCGCTACAAGACTTAGAGATCTAAATAACCGATCACGACTCAGGGGGTAGAACATTAAGCAAGCAACAAGCGCGGGAAAAGTCAAATGACCAATCACTGAATACAGAAAATGCAAAATACGACCTTGACATCTACCTTTATGCTGTGCTTTCTTCATCTGTCCTGGTAATAACCACCTCGGTGATCTTTGCATTAGGATTTTCTTCCTTGGCTCGTTGGATGGCCTCCATAATCGCCTAAACAGTACAATCATATATTAATTACTATTGGTGAAGACCACTGCACCTTGCCCCAGCCGGATAAGCCATTGACGTCTTCATGTTTCTCCGTGAGAGAAAACCAAAACATAACAGAAATAATTTAACTCGGAGAGTTACCAAATCCCCGATTCCAGTTCTTAACTTACAAGCACTTCGACAATTAGAATACCTCTTGCTGCTTAGCAACACCTCTGGCAAAAATGCTTATGGGTTCAGTTCAATCTGACTTAAAAGATTTTCGTGGAACTGTATTAAAGGAGCTTCGTCACGGTTTGCGCATTTTGAAAAGTTTAGCCTAAATTCTTCACGTTTGTCGCTTGCAATCCGTGTTAATCTTCTCCATCCTTAACCATCCTTGTTTCTCTATGGTTTATTACTATCTCTTTGGTGTTTTTCTATCTTTGTAAATTATTATTTTCATGTTTCCTTCCATTTAAAGGTAATTTTGTATGTGGCCAAAATAACTCAAAATACCGTGACTGAACTCCTTTTAAGTTCTCTCAGCCGGTTCACTTACTGCATCAGTTTCTGGGTCACCAGTTTTGATAATGTTTCCGTCATCATCAACAACCCTCATTGTCTCGGTTATTGTTTTAGTTTGCTTCACTTCTTGTACCTTGGTTGTGTACGTCTACGGTAGAAAAAAAAAGCACATTAAAAACAACTTCAGTTCCAACGCACGGGACAAAAATATTCACTAACTGATTTCTACCATTTTGCAAGGAGGTTTGGGGTCAAATGATTCTTAAAGGGAATTACACCACCAGGGCTGTGCTCTTGAGGCACTTGGGTGCCACAGGAAACTAACTTTAGCCTTTGGACGACTGGAAAAACTTATTTTTTTCGTATCAGTTTAAGTACTGGGCACCCATGGTTAGGAACCTTTGGGCTCCTTGTAATTCTTCTCACAGCCTTGCACCACACTTCAAAGCATTTCTACCACAGCAGAATTCACTGAATTCACTTACAGTGGTCACCACTTCACTGCTGCCAATCTCTCCAGCATGTTTAGCAATGATGTCCTTCAATTCCTCGGCAGTCAGCTGATTGCCGTCACCTTCAATAGTGATGGTCTTCTGGATAATCTCTGTCGGCATGGTGGTCTGACGGATGGTCTCGGTCCTGCTGGGTTCTCCACCACCCATCATGATGGTGCGGGTGATGACTGTGCCGCCATCTTGGGTTCCTGTGACCCAACAAACCAACGCATGTCACCAAGCAAGAACGCAATGACTTCATTCACAAAGGCCCGGTAATACGGTCAACATTTTCCTTCAGCTTGTCTCGCAACATTGTTGCATTGCAAGTTGACACACATTGTTGTGCGTATTACCACGTTTGTGACTACCTCGTTTGCAACAATGTTGCGAGACAAGTTGAAGAAAAATGTTGCCGGTATTACCGAACCTTAAAGCAAAATGACAACAATTTACGCAAGTCACGCACAACTGGAGGATACCATGGTACGCAAAAGACGGGTGGATGGCGAAGTACGGATAGGACATTATTTTTGGTCTGATACAAGTAATAATAATAGTAATAACAATAGTGATAATGATGATGATAATGATAATGATGATGATGACGATGACGATGCTGATAATAATAACAGCATTTATTTATACACGGTGTGTAAGAGCAGCTGCTGAGCTGATGTGGCTGTGTCTATGGAAAAAAATGCTACTTACATCAAAGATAATAAAATAATAAAATAACAAAAATTATCTACAATGTAAAATATTTGACGTTAAAGAGCTAAAAATAAAAGAAAAAGTCGTACACTAGAAGAAACTACTCGTTCTCCTTGGTCTGTCAAGCCGACACAAAGAGAAAGCCAAAGAAGAAAAAGATTTTGTGCGGTCAGTAGAAAGAGGTTGGGGAGAAAAAACTTCTTGGCCCTTCTCCAATCAGATATTACATTATTCAGCAATAGGGTGATCTTCCTAGGTTCACTACTGTGCAATGTGGTGCGAATCCGTTTTCAAATCCCTGAGTTTCCTGCCAAATACAAGACCCAAAGAGTGTGACAGAATTGCCATCCCGATGACAGCCTGCAAAAAACTTTCATGCTTTTACATTCAAATTACCATTTCAAATTTCTGAACTGTGTATTAGGCCTCAGGGATTGAAAAAACATGAACCAAGTACATGTACGCCAGACAGTATGTTAATTTGTACACAAATTAAAATTTTTTACTAACCACTCAAAGGTGGACTTATGGGAGGTCCATTTTGGTCATACACAACTCTCTGTGTGGTGACGCTGGGCACATTGTAATGTCTTGCATGAGGTGAGTAAGGCTCGGGTGAACTAGCCGGTGTAGAGTCATTATAGCGATATGGGGTACCTTGTTTATATGCTGCATCTCCACCTGGGCTTCCTCCATACGACAACACATGGGTCTCCACCTCAGGAGCCCTGTTCTGCCGATACACGGTCGGTTCTCTTTCACTGTCAATGATCATGGTTCTGGTGGTGATCTCAGGCGGTGCATTCTCCAGGTCATTTCTCACCGATTGTCGTTCAATGATTCCTTCGTTTCTCCTTATGTTCTCCCTGACGAAGCCACCCTCGCCCTGCTCATGCTGTAAGTTGAGGTCATCTTTAAGTGACCTCTTGATCTCACTCTGGCCGGGCTCAGCTCTTAGAGTGTCACTGGTTGCAGATCCAGGTGAATAGTACCTGACCAGCTCATCCCTATTCACAAGAGGTACTTTACCTTGTCGGCCACCTCTGTCTTTCTCATTGTTATCCAGCAGATCATCCGCGCTACGTCTCCTGTCCTCTTCGGACGTTACGTTGCTCTCATAGCCTTTTCGCCCGCCACGATTAGGTAAGGTGGAGCTTGTGTATGTGCGGGTGTATGACACATTATCCTTTCTTCCACCTCCCCATGTGTTTGTCCTAGAAACGTCAGTACCCTACCGAACAAAAATGAGAGTCATTACTTTTAATTTTACTGTCAATGGTCTTTCCTAGGAGGTTCCGTCTCTCGTGGATGTGTGATGTAAATAAGTGCCTGACTTAGTGTCTGACAGTAACCAACTACGCCAATGCACCTCCATACACTAATGGAAATCAGAGCACGTAAACTGCATAGCTAGCGTTCCCCTTCGAAGAGCTTTATCCGCATTCTGGCGGCGCACAAATGGGACCGAGAGAATAAAAATCAAGGAAGCAGGGGTTCATGGGGCAAGCAAGGGATTTTTTTTTGTCTTGCTCTAATTTGTGCATGGAAAACGCGGAAAAAGCTCTTAGTACCAGAATGCTTACTATGCAGGCTACAGAGCATGAGACATATTTTTAGTCTTACCATCTCGTCCTCTGGCATCTTCAGGACTCGTCCTTTGTAGGTATCAGTGTCAGCGACCCTCGTCTCTGCTCTCTTAATTGTATCAAAACCAGACGTTGGTGTGGCAACGCCCATGCTAACAAACTCTGGCTCTTCGGTAGTTTTGGTCTTTTCCATGGTGAATTTTGCCCTAGAACAGACAGCATTCTCAATCAGCACTTAGAATAGATATAACAAGATGGGGAACTGCAGTGGAATCGTATTGATTTAGCCACCGCAAATGACCCTACAAAGTCTTTGCTGTCAAAGAGGCTCTGAAGATGGGAATGAATGACCTCACACTATGGTACACGCAGCAAAAAGTGGCCGAAATAATCAGGTGGCGGCCTGCAAAATACAGGCTGGATTTTGGCAGCGTGAACCAACAAACGAAAATCAACTTGTCTTTGCATGTTTTACAGGACACAGCTGCATCAATGTAATTTTAGAAACAGATATCCTTGGCTTGTACCGTGTCCATTGGTATATCCTATAAGAGAAATCTCAGACTAAAGAGAAAATATTCCACAATATTTGAAGAATTATCCCTACTCCAACTCAGTTACTGTATCTCATTTAGAGGTCAAAATGAGAAACAGCTGCAGATGAAAAGCCAAAGGACGTGAAGTTAAATAAGCGAGGCTTGAATGTTTAGCATACATGCATTAAGTGCCACCTTCGAGACTTCAACAGTAACATCTTCGCAACTTGATATTTACCTCTCAGCAGTTCCTCCAGGAGCAATGTATGCCATGCCTGCAACTTCTGGCTCTTGTTCCTCAACTCTGAAAACCGAAAAAGATCATTCAGCAGGCAAAAAGGAAGTTTAGTTATGGCTTGTAGCCCAAGGCAAGTTGATTTTTTTTTAAGTCAGTAGTGGACTAAATCCATTGCTTGCCTAACAGGCAAGACGAAATTATAAGTCACAAGAAATAAGACAGAAAGAACGACCTAATTTTGGGAGCTAATGAGAATGACTAGTATATCATAGCTTCAGCTTTCCTGAAGGGCAAGTCTGAAGATTGGTTTTCTTTGCACCCTGGAAGTCTTCCTGCTTCATAATAATGTTTGAGCCACAAAGGCTACAGTCTAAACTATCATGAACATGCTGCGCAATAAGTAGCATGAATGCTGCACTACAATAATCTAAGGTACCAGACAGTTCATTAAAATGGACACAACAAGAACATGGAAAATGTTGAAATTATTGTGTCTGTTATGAGTGGGTTAGTAAGTGCTAGGGCCCTTAAGACCACTGTTTATAATGGCAAGACGTTCTCAATTAAGTGAGTGTCTACTGTGTTAAAACAAAATTCAATGGCTTCTGTGATCCAAGTTGGGGGAAGGGGGTTGGGGTTATTGGCAATAGATGATTCCAGTGAAGGTAAACAATCATTTTAGTGATAAAAGCTCCATTTGTTACCTTCTCTTTTCACTGTCAATCCATTCTTGAAGCTTCCTCTCCCTTTCTGCTTCTTTGGCAAGTCGCTCCCTCTCTGCTTCCCTCTCAAGCCGCTCCTTCTCACGTTCAGCCTCTTCTTTCCTCTCTTTCTCACGTCTTCTTGCTTCGTCCTCAACAGCAGTGACTGTAGCTTGTGGATCAGGTCTTTCTGCAGTTCCATATGCATAAAAACTTCTACCTTCTCCAGCGCCAGTGGCTCTGATGATATCTTGACCATCCTCTCCTCTTTCCTTTCCTAATTTCTCTCTCATTTCCCTCTGGTATTGTTCTCTTTCTTCTGGTGTCAGGGTAGCCATTGATTCCTCTTCCATTAATGGAGCCTGCAAACAAAAACAATAATTGCACATTAATTAATGCACTTATCCTGACAATGTAGAGAAAATAATTCATGGGCATGCCTGGATATGAGATTTTTCTTCGCGTGTTCAACTTGATATATTACAAGTGAGATATAAATGTAAAGTTGAACACAAGAAGAGAAATTCCATATCTACAAGCAACCATGTATTATTTTGTTTATTACATAAACATACTAATAACAACGTTTTTGATGGTTTTCCGAAGATTTCCAACACTTTCCAAAGATTTTTCAAAAGTCGTCCGAAGGCTAAACAAATGTTCATGAATATTCTCTGAAAATTTCTGAAGATTACTGAAGATTTCTGAAAACACCCAAAGATTGCCGAAGACTTCTGAGGAAGATCCGATGATGTTGCAGTCACACAGCAACAAATTTGAGTACAGTTAAAGAGTCAAACATGATATCAAAAGACATCATCAATATCTCCACTAGTGAAAATATGGAAAATATGCCACTTGGGTCTCAGATGCAGTTTGGCAAGAACTTTATGAATGCTGTATTTTCCAGTAAAACACTTATGTCTACATAGTAAAGTGTGATATCACATGCTTTAAAGGCGTTTAAAGACCTACATGTACCTGTACTCCCTTTCGAATGTAAAGTGGCATCTTTGACGGCATGTCTCCTTCAGAGAGAGGCCTCTTTTTACGGTCATCATCCTTTTCATCCACATAAATCCTAGTTTCAGACAGAGATGGCATTTGGTAACGACGGGACCAGTTCAAACTTGAAACGCGGCTAAACTTGGGCTGATCCTTAATTGGGTGACCGTCCTTGTGAAGCTGATATAGGGTGCGGTCACTGTAACGGAACTTTGACCCCATCTTCAGAAGTGAGGTACTGCGACTCGGTGGAGGATCAGAAAAGGTTAGCCTGTAAGAGGAAAGGAGAGTTCATGTTTTTGAGCAATCTTTACTGAGGATTTCGTGTTTTGGGCATCCATACAACATAGACATAGATTTCAAACCTATTAATAATTCATCACGTTGAAACAAAGGAAATCATGACTGAAAGTATTTGGATATCTGATCACATATTAGATTTTCATGATTTTCATGATTTGTTTTCTCCTATTGTTAAGTTGTAGTTTTGACCACATTTCCAAATACCTTGAAGATCATCAAAAATTCTCCACTATGCATCATATTTTCAAAATTGTTTTCATCATTTTTGAAATGTGTTAAAATATGGTCTTTGTGGCTTGACATACAGTTTTGTATTGTAACCCACTGCCTTAACACTGAGCACATTTCCAAACAAACTCAAAGATCGTCAAAAATACTACACTATGTGTCAAAATTTTCAATTCTATTCTGGGCATTTTAGAAATGGTCTTTTGTGCTTGATACATTACATCCTAAATGCCTAACTCTGTCACACCAAGATTGAAACTTCAAGTAGTTAATATATTATTACGGGTCTACCTTTGCATAACAGCCTAATGTGAGTTCCATTCAAATGAAAGCTGTCAGACATTACTTCCAGGTAGCACTATTTATTACCCTATATCAGGTGTTTCTTAATGTTATTTTATAAATGAAACCATAGAGCAACCATTTAAACAACTGCCAATAAGAAGCACTTCTATGCATGTGTTGCTCAACATCTTTTACTTTTCCAAAGGGAAATTTGAAGCCTTTCTACAATCAAGTCAGAAGCAATGCTTGCTCTGCACAGATATGAAAATGTAGGATAGATGCATAATATTTAACATGCAGGGTACACAGATCTGAGGCAAGCATTCTGGTGTTAATTCCCTTAGTCTTTATACCTGAAGAAAGTATGATGTTCCACACAGGATTTATACAAGCGTTTAGCTGCCTTCTCACTTGGCATCTTATAAATTGACGTTGTTGTCAAAGTGTCCAGCTAGTCAGTAACAAGAAATGGGACAACAATTAGAACTGCTAATTCATTAAAGTATTGCATAAAGGATTGTATAAAATTCTCCTTGCTAAAAAAAAAAAAAATTCTTAAAAATACCTCTCCTGGGTGGCTTTTCACAATGAAATTCCTTTTTCTGTACTTGATATAATCAATCTTTGACCTAATAACAATTTAAAGGAATTTAGAGACAATTTTTTTTATTTTCAGAATGACACACTTTGGACAAATTGATGTAAAATAGAGACCTGCATATGGATTGTGTAGTTCCAGAAAATAGCCATTACTCCCCCACAGAAGGGATTTTTTCTAAGACCCCCCACCCCTCTGGAAATTCCAATTAAACTTGATACATTTTTTAAAATTATTTGGTCTTAGAGAAACCCCCACCCGCCAGGAAATTCCAATCCCTTCTGTGGGGGTAGTATGGATATTTTCTGGTACTACACATTAAACACTTAAAGAGCAGTGTGCACAGTGTTCTACTGGTTACAAAAACAGACAGTCAATGGGTTTGCTCCCCACATCAATATTTCTGTTTAGGCTTACTGGACAAAAGATGTTACTTTCAGACAGCCTCTACCTAGGTCTAGAAAATCGATCCAACAAAATTGCTTGACAAACAACACCCCCTTCCCCCATCACAGCCTGACAAAAACTAGCAGAGTAGCTTGTGACATACCAACTTCCTAGCAGGGAAGGGGAGGGGAGGGGAGGGGGACAATACTGCTATACACTACATACAGCAGAAGCCTGACCACACACACTTACCATGGGATCCTTTTCACCACCAGCCTGTCTTTGTAACTGGCCACGCCATCATGTGACACACCAATAAGTATTTCAGTACCATCTTCTTCCTAAATATTGATTGTTAAAAAACTGATATCAACAAACTTTCCACACAAAATCCGTAAATTAAATTAGCCAGTGAGTTCTGGAAGTAGTAATGAGTACCCAGTAAATACTGTCTATTGTATCTAGTCCTACATGTAACTAGTTATATACATGTACATCAGTACTTTGATTAGGCTGATCAAACTTATTCATAAAACAACAAATAATAAAAGCTGTCTTTTACCCTTGCAGGATGGGCATCAACACCAAACATGACAAGTTTAGATGCAGCAATCTTTAGGTACTGTAGGTCAGCCTCTTCTGGGCTGAGACCCCTGGAAATGAACCAAACAAGAGAGTTGACTATTCAGCTGAAAGCTCAATATACTTCACAAAATCCGTTTGCTGATAGTTTGTGGTAAATTGACAAATCCAAAATCAAAACCATTGACAGAAATAAAAAATGACATCAATGTTAGGTTCAAAAAGCACTAAAAAGACCACAAAAAGGGTGCAAAGAAAACCAAATTTTTGGTTTCCTAAAGGGCAAGCTGTAACTACATGAAAAATGTGTTAGCCTGAAAGTCATTCTGTCTAGCCCTCTAAAGTTTCAATCTCCTACTGAACTTCTTTAATTTGAATTTCCTAAAAAGGTTTTCCAAGAAACTTCCCTTGCCCAAACAAAATGCACTAGCCACTAGCTCTGGGCAATCAGACAAGAATTCCTTTGCATGAAATTATTTAACATATTGATTTTGACAAAAGCTACAAATTCAGACACCAAGAGTGTTTAATTTTAAGAAAGCCTTTTGTCATACCTGTGTTGTTTATGTAGTTCCCTGATTTTGTCCAACAGTTCTTGTGTCTATATAATACCAATGAGAGTCAGTTAGTAAGAAAATGAGCAGTCGTTTTCAATAACAAAATTTGAGCTTATTACTTACCTGGTTTGGTGCAAACACCATTCCATCCAAGTAATCAGTCCCATGCTCACGAGGTTCAAAATCGCCAACATCACCTAAGTTTTGAGCCACCAAAATTAGTAACAGGTTAAGGTAGGTTAAGTCTAAATACAACCCAAGAGGCCCATTAGGTCGGAGCTTATCCTAGTCTCTGTAGCATGAAGTGACTAGGAATATTTCTACTCCCCACCCCCCACTGGATGGGATGCTAGTCCATTGCAGGGTTACCCCCAGTGCCCATTTATACATCTGGGTGGAAAGAGGCACTGTGAGAGTGAAGTGTCTTGCCCAAGAAAAAAACACAATGTCCCCGGCCAGGTCTTGCACCCAGACTGCTCCATCCAGAGACAAGCACACTAACCTTGAAGCAACCACGCCTCCCACTAAAATTATAATTACTTATTTTCTCACATTGTGTTTTCCTTCCTGGCTTGCACAACAAGAAATATATATTAAAATCAATGTAAGTTGTAATTGACTGGTCTGCTCACCCCCCAGTGGTGCTTTTCAGGGCCAAGAGCAACAAAAAGTGAGCAAAATACTACATGTACAAATAAACTCAACATCGTTAAACACCGCAACTGGCAGGAGGCAGACCAGTTGGCTATTTTAGAAAGCATAATCGAGGAGCTGGATTCGGGACCACTGAAAGTACATTAGCCAAACACTTCATTCAAGCCCCATGTACATTTGTGTAGAAACATTATGAGCAGCAATTCTTCTGCCAGATACTGTTGTGTGATATTAAACCTTACAATATGTACAGACCAAAGCTTGGTTATGTGGTATCAAATGATTGCTACATGCCTAACTTTGTCTTACCCTGTACAATGTACGATCCAAGTACCGCTTGGTTGCTAAATGAACATGGTAATCTGAAAATATACATGCACAAAAACATCACTCAACTAGTCATCAGCCATGGTGCTGAAGACCAAACCAAACCAAGCATGCAAAATGATTTAATTATATCAATAAGTTACCTTCCCGAGTTTATGTCATCTCTCAACTGCATACACATCAAATACCTTGGAAGCAAAAATGCAAACAAACAGAGTGTAAGAAGGTTTCAAAATTGCACTGTAATCAGTTATACAAAACACCATTCTAAACACTCTTATGCTACAGTGAATATTAGTTATGTTAAAGATGATTTCCAGTCTATACTGCACACNTATTACCCTATATCAGGTGTTTCTTAATGTTATTTTATAAATGAAACCATAGAGCAACCATTTAAACAACTGCCAATAAGAAGCACTTCTATGCATGTGTTGCTCAACATCTTTTACTTTTCCAAAGGGAAATTTGAAGCCTTTCTACAATCAAGTCAGAAGCAATGCTTGCTCTGCACAGATATGAAAATATAGGACATATGCATAATATTTAACATGCAGGGTATACAGATCTGAGGCAAGTATTCTGGTGTTAATTCCCTTAGTCATTATACCTGAAGAAAGTATGATGTTCAACGCAGGATTTATACAAGCGTTTAGCTGCCTTCTCACTTGGCATCTTGTAAATTGATGTTGTTGTCAAAGTGTCCAGCTAGTCAGTAACAAGAAATGGGACAACAATTAGAACTGTTAATTCATTAAAGTATTGCATAAAGTATTGTATAAAGGTCTCCTAGCTAAAAAAAAATGCTTAAAATACCTCTCCTGGGTGGCTTTTCACAATGAAGTTCCTTTTTCTGTACTTGATATAATCAATCTTTGACCTAATAACAATTTAAAGGAATTTAGAGACAAATTTTTTATTTTCACAATGACACACTTTGGACAAATTGATATAAAATAGAGACCCTGCATATGGATTCTGTAGTTCCAGAAAATATCCATTACTCCCCCACGGAAGGGATTTTTTCTAAGACCCCCCACCCCTCTGGAAATTCCAATTAAACTTGATACATTTCTTTAAATTATTTGGTCTTAGAGAAACCCCACCCCCAAGGAAATTCCAATCCCTTCTGTGGGGGGAGTATGGATATTTTCTGGTACTACACATTCAACACTTAAAGAGCAGTGTACACAGTGTTCTACTGGTTACAAAAACAGACAGTCAATGGGTTTGCTCCCCACATCAATATTTCTGATTAGGCTTACTGGACAAAAGATGTTACTTTCAGACAGCCTCTACCTAGGTCTAGAAAATCGATCCAACAAAATTGCTTGACAAACAACACCCCCTTCCCCCATCACAGCCTGACAAAAACTAGCAGAGTAGCTTGTGACATACCAACTTCCTAGCAGGGAAGGGGAGGGGAGGGGAGGGGGACAATACTGCTATACACTACATACAGCAGAAGCCTGACCACACACACTTACCATGGGATCCTTTTCACCACCAGCCTGTCTTTGTAACTGGCCACGCCATCATGTGACACACCAATAAGTATTTCAGTACCATCTTCTTCCTAAATATTGATTGTTAAAAAACTGATATCAACAAACTTTCCACACAAAATCCGTAAATTAAATTAGCCAGTGAGTTCTGGAAGTAGTAATGAGTACCCAGTAAATACTGTCTATTGTATCTAGTCCTACATGTAACTAGTTATATACATGTACATCAGTACTTTGATTAGGCTGATCAAACTTATTCATAAAACAACAAATAATAAAAGCTGTCTTTTACCCTTGCAGGATGGGCATCAACACCAAACATGACAAGTTTAGATGCTGCAATCTTTAGGTACTGTAGGTCAGCCTCTTCTGGGCTGAGACCCCTGGAAATGAATTAACCAAGAGAGTTGACCATTCAGCTGAAAGCTCAAAATACTTCATAAAATCTATTTGCTGATAGTTTGTGGTAAATTGACAAATCCAAAATCAAAACCAATGACAGAAATCAAAAATGACATCAATGTTTGGTTCAAAAAGCACTAAAAGGACCACAAAAAGGGTGCAAAGAAAACCAAATTTCGGGTCCCTAAAGGGCAAGCTGTAGCTACATGAAAAATGTGTTAGCCTGAAAGTCATTCTGTCTAGCCCTCTAAAATTTCAATCTCCTACTGAACTTCTTTAATTTTAATTTCCTAAAAAAGTTTTCCAAGAAACTTCCCTTGCCCAAACAAAATGTACTAGCCACTAGCTCTGGGCAATCAGACAAGAATTCCTTTGCATGAAATTATTTAACATATTGATTTTGACAAAAGCTACAAATTCAGACACCAAGAGTGTTTAATTTTAAGAAAGCCTTTTGTCATACCTGTGTTGTTTATGTAGTTCCCTGATTTTGTCCAACAGTTCTTGTGTCTATATAATACCAATGAGAGTCAGTTAGTAAGAAAATGAGCAGTCGTTTTCAATAACAAAATTTGAGCTTATTACTTACCTGGTTTGGTGCAAACACCATTCCATCCAAGTAATCAGTCCCATGCTCACGAGGTTCAAAATCGCCAACATCACCTAAGTTTTGAGCCACCAAAATTAGTAACAGGTTAAGGTAGGTTAAGTCTAAATACAACCCAAGAGGCCCATTAGGTCGGAGCTTATCCTAGTCTCTGTAGCATGAAGTGACTAGGAATATTTCTACTCCCCACCCCCCACTGGATGGGATGCTAGTCCATTGCAGGGTTACCCCCAGTGCCCATTTATACATCTGGGTGGAAAGAGGCACTGTGAGAGTGAAGTGTCTTGCCCAAGAAAAAAACACAATGTCCCCGGCCAGGTCTTGCACCCAGACTGCTCCATCCAGAGACAAGCACACTAACCTTGAAGCAACCACGCCTCCCACTAAAATTATAATTACTTATTTTCTCACATTGTGTTTTCCTTCCTGGCTTGCACAACAAGAAATATATATTAAAATCAATGTAAGTTGTAATTGACTGGTCTGCTCACCCCCCAGTGGTGCTTTTCAGGGCCAAGAGCAACAAAAAGTGAGCAAAATACTACATGTACAAATAAACTCAACATCGTTAAACACCGCAACTGGCAGGAGGCAGACCAGTTGGCTATTTTAGAAAGCATAATCGAGGAGCTGGATTCGGGACCACTGAAAGTACATTAGCCAAACACTTCATTCAAGCCCCATGTACATTTGTGTAGAAACATTATGAGCAGCAATTCTTCTGCCAGATACTGTTGTGTGATATTAAACCTTACAATATGTACAGACCAAAGCTTGGTTATGTGGTATCAAATGATTGCTACATGCCTAACTTTGTCTTACCCTGTACAATGTACGATCCAAGTACCGCTTGGTTGCTAAATGAACATGGTAATCTGAAAATATACATGCACAAAAACATCACTCAACTAGTCATCAGCCATGGTGCTGAAGACCAAACCAAACCAAGCATGCAAAATGATTTAATTATATCAATAAGTTACCTTCCCGAGTTTATGTCATCTCTCAACTGCATACACATCAAATACCTTGGAAGCAAAAATGCAAACAAACAGAGTGTAAGAAGGTTTCAAAATTGCACTGTAATCAGTTATACAAAACACCATTCTAAACACTCTTATGCTACAGTGAATATTAGTTATGTTAAAGATGATTTCCAGTCTATACTGCACACCGTTTTGGATTGTCTACCTGCTTGTTTTGATTCAAGAAGGCAGTAATGCACATGTAACATTTTGAAGTATTAAATTGAAAGTTTCAGGTTATCCACCACTATGGATGCAAAGCTTTCATGCTTTATTCTTTCTTAAAGGATTTTAAAATTGACATTTGGTTTATCCAACCAAAAAATACAATACTAAACAACAAACAAACAACTTAAATACCCTAGAACAGCAAATAACTACATGTAAATATATGAAATTATACATCACTCACTAAATACATTAGTTGACTAATTAGCACATATGCTAAGTCCAAGTCCAGACACTTCACCCAGCTGTCTGACCAAGAATTCAACTTAAGATCATTGGAGCAACTGAATTTCAATTACAGTGTTATCTCTAAAAGTAATTCTGCATTCTTTGATCCATTTTGATCGCAGTATTAATAAAAATGTCTATGAAAAGCTCTTCAGTTTACAGCTGTAACAACACCAAGTTCCTTGAAAATATTTCACTTAGTGTTGCTAAGATGCACTTAACCTTGAGAGAGTGTGAACTTTTGCAAATAATTGCCACTTCCTTTCATTTTAACAGGTATCAACAGAATAACCATTTAATGTACCAAATATTCATGCTTTTTAAAACTGAAGTTAAGGTAAACATTATTCTGGAAAAAAGTAGGTTTACTGGGTTACTAAAAGGTAGACAGAATATTAAATAAATATATCAATAAATAAATGTACCTTCACAAGAAAAGCAGCGAGAATATACAATGCATACTTAATTGCAAATGCATTGCTAGTTTACCTGGTAAAGTCAGTTTTAATTTGTGATGGCACAGGCTCATAGAACTTCACAGCAAATCCAAAGTTAGGTTGGACACCTGAAAAAAACGATGTAAAACAGAAGTGCAATATCTGTAGTAACGGTATTTAAAATACATGTTACCATGACATAAGGAGTTGATTCAAAAGAATTTACAAACAAGCATAACTTGCATGCATCCCTAAGGGCTTTTAGAAGAAGACAGTAACATAAGAAAGGTGAAAAATTATACATATCCGGTTGCATTAAAGCAACATTTGTGGCCATCTAAAAAAATATCTAGATGTCCGAAATAAATACAATACCAGTACAGTTGAACGTCTCCCTAAGGATGTCTCTCTAACTCGGACATAAGGACAGCACAAGTCCCAGATAAAACAGAATTCATATTGATCACCTTTACAATGTATCTCTGTCATATGGACAATGTGATGTGAGCACCCAGGTCTGGCCCTTACATGTGTGTATTTGTCTTGGAAATTAAAGAGGTTTGACTACATGCATGTGCACCTAATGATTTTGCTTGTAAAGCAAAATCCTCTTTTGAATTGTGCAGAAAAACAGTATTACTATTATTCTTAATTTACACAGTCATGCTGTAAACACTATCTTCAAACGTAACCCTGGCAAGGAGAAGAGACACTTAGCTTAAGGGTGCTAAAATTTTCTAAAAATAAGTAATGATAAAGGAAATGAATACAATGGCATCCATGTAGCTACAACTTTCTACCTGTGAAGTGAGGTCTTCTCTAAGACTTTGAGAGATTTAAGAATAGTTTTTCAATGCCACTTTCATGAAAGACTGTCAACAGTGACATCCTTCAAAATTTCATGTATGCATTTAAAAGGATCCTGACCACTCACACCTTGATTCTTATTTATAAATGCATTAATATGTTCTAGAAGCCATGATTTCAATGTGATTAATTCAATTGCGATGCAGGACAAAAGCTCATGAGCAATTATCATTGTCAACAGCTGTACAAAATTAAGTTCACGTCCCTTCAATTACAATGAATTTTCTTTTCTTAAATAACATGGATTAAATGGCAAACTCCCTAGCTTTTCTGCACACTGCAATTTTTTTTTTTTTTACTTAAACATCTCAACCACATTAATTTTGTGTCTTCTATTCATTTAGAGTATACATGTATGAAATTTGAATCATTCATAAGAGCAAGTTTTAACTAGTCTCAAACACTTAACAAAAAGATTAAAAAACTCTAAAATTTCTGGCAATTTAGTCAATATATTTCATGGTGTCTCAAGGATGAAAATGGTTGCTACAACATAGGGTACACAAAGAAAACTTGGGGACAAAAATTAGACTATGATGTTGCCACAGATGTATTTTTCAAAACTAAAAAATAAATCCAGAAGCCTCACTAAGAATATCGAATGGCTTTTGTATTCAAAGAGATTTGGATTCAAGATGCCATTAGTTTTCTGTGACCTGATAAGTATACATGTATTCAAGTTTCAAGTTTCAAGTTTCATGACTTTTACATTTTGTGTGAATGACTTGGGGTGAGAGGTCTCAACTGGCATGAAGAGCCAGAATTATTGCTGTGCTGACTAAAGACCACAGTGAAGAACCAGAGTACTCCAATATTGAGAATGAAAAATTTCCCACGTGAACACTTCAGTGAACAAATGTTTTATCACATGGGAAACCTTTGAACATAAGGGTGTCTCCTTCATGACAGGAAATAATGCTATCAAAAATGGAAATTAAATAGTGCTCAGTCATGGAAATGTAACCTTTGTGTATTTAGCTCAGAGTTTGAATATTTATTTTGTTTTAGACCGAGATACAAATAAATAAAACAATAGACTAAACAGACCACTAAACCAAACAAACATGTGTCTGAAATGCTAAGAATCCAATCGCATTTAGATCAAGATAGGGTAGGAAATACTCTGGGTGCTTTTATCTTAACAGGACCAACAGGTTATATTGATGGCATCAATCAAGAAATTATTCAATAATTAGACCTCACATAGAGGAAAACAAATGCTGTCAACCTTGGAGATCTTTATCTGCTCCAGCAGCATGTACCATAAACAAACCCTTCTGCAACTAATAAATCTACCATTCATTCCAGTTATCTTTGTATGCTTGTCTGAATTGAAACTATTATAATCCTCTTTGGTAACTACATGTAACATTAAGATTACTAACACCTTTTTGGAGCCACCCATGAATAAATTATTGTAGTGGAAAATTTGATTTTAGAAAACAGGAGAATCTAAAATTTTTGATCAATCCAAAATATTGTCTACATCTAAAACAAACACAATTTGTTTTAATCTAACAACAGTGGTTCAAGGAGAGGTATATTAAAATTGCTCATAAATATTCTACAAATCGAACTCACACCACAAATTTACACAATATAATTCTCCTGGGAAACGTTTGTCTAGAATACTAAAAAACAAATTAGCATGACAATAACATTTAGGCGTTAGGCGTTAGGCGTAGACGTGGGAAAATAGGAAAGTTCTTGGTGTTCAAAACAAATATACCTTTCAGCTGAGTTGTAATTTTCTTCTGGGGATCAAGCCAGAACTGTAGACGAAACAAAATAAGAAAACATATCGCAGTTATCCCGTGCAGAACCCAACAAAAACCTGTTGAAAGTTGTTACATTTAAGATAGTGAATAATATTTTAACCTGCTTGTCACGCAACGAAAGTTATACCACACAATCGCTAAACAAGCTAAAAATCATTTCAATCTTTTCTCCTAATGCTTAACAATGTTTGATTTCCCGATAGGGGGTTGATTGGTAATGACAAGAAACGGTCATCTGTTCAAAACAGAACTTTCATGAACTAAAGAACATACATGCTATTTCTACCGTCTACGTACCTTTTCTCCATTTTTATCTTCCCACAGAAGACCAAAATACTCTTTCTCTGAGATGTTCAACTGCGTTGTCACCCAGTGCATCAAATCAAGACCTTTGGCACTTTTCTTTGGAAAGCAAACTCGTGTTAACACATATTAAGCTTCTACTTAACATAGACAATGGGGATATGTTATTTAAACGAGCACACCAAAAGTTGGCACAGAACTTCACTTTCTGTACAGTTCGATAGTCTTGATGTAATGACACTAAAACTGCACAATTTCACAAGAATGATCGTCAAAACATAACGCTTAACTGCAGCAAGCAAGTTTTAGTTTACGCCGTTTTGTAACACGACACCCCAACCAAGCAAAGCGTGCACGCTAAAGTAAACATTTTCTTCGCTTGCAGGGTTGAAGTCTGGCCTATCGACACGGATTTTGAGCTACAAGATGGAGATGACGCGAAATAAAAATCCTACATACAGCGCAGTGAAATGACGAAGTAATAATGGAATGAGGAATTATGTACCCGAATTAATACAACAGCGTAGAACAAGGGTAAACGTGAGTTTGATTTTTCTGTGCGCAAATATAATTTCTTAACTATATGCGCCGAAATAAGTTCCCAAAACTATTAGCGCGTCGATTTTATTATTACAACTATACGCCGTTAAGGGAGTCTCTCAATACGGCCACGAAACGTGTTAATTTTCACATAATCG